GAGGACACAGTCACCTTTGGGCTGTTGTATCAGGGGTTTGGGAAAGGAGAGTTAAACAAAGGAAGCAATAAGGGCTGCTCTGCCAGGAGGCTCCCCAGTTCACATCCTGCCTTTCAAAGAGCTGCTGGTTCTTGGGGATGAGCTTAAAGAAATAAACTGCTCTTTTGTTAGTCACAAAGGCTCGCAAAGATCCTTCTGTAACAGAGCAGGCTGCAGGGGAAGGCTCTGGTTCCTCCCAGCACATCCAAGGAGAAGCTGCCAAAATGGCTGGTCCAGCCCTCCACGTGTCCAGCTGCTGCTCCCATCATCTGCTCCCAGCCCGCAGCAGGGTTGGCTTGGTATAACATAACCCAGAGCACAGCTTCATGGATTGGTCTGGGTTGGAAGGGAGCTTAAAGCTCATCCAGTTCCAATCCTGACCCCTTCCACTGGAGCAGCTTGCTCCAAGCCCCTGTGCCTTGAGCACTGCCAGGGATGGGGCAGCCACAGCTCCTCTGGGCACCCTGTGCCAGCGCCTCAGCACCCTCACAGGGAAGAGCTTCTGCCTTTGGGGGTGCCTCAAAGCCCCTGCCATGGTACCAGGCCAGCACAGGGCTGGAGGAGGCAGGAGAAGCCAAACCCATCACCACCAGTGCAGGATGATGGCAGGGAGCAGGGTTTTGCTGTCTGTGAGGACAGGCAGCATCCATCTCGCCTCCATCCCCAAAGGCTCTGCCAGCAGTTGCTGAGGGTGTTGCAGAGCAGCCTAAGGAAAAACCAGCCTGTTTCCATAAACCTGCTTTAATCCATAATGGAAAGATTCCAGGTGAATGCAGAAGAGGGGCTGCCAAGCTGTGAGCGAGAAGTCACTTCTGGATGGGGCTCTGCTCATCCCACTGCTCCCCTCTCCCATCCCTGAGCCCCCAAAACAGAGCAGTGCCTGTCCCAACCTCCTCCCTCCAGTGCTGTTTATGGGAACAGGGTGGGCATCCCAATAGAGGTTTCTCCAGCCCCAGGGCATGGGTAAGTTTAGCATCTGCAGCCTGCACCGAGGTCAATGCTGAGCAGCTCCTGTCTTTGAGGATGCTCTGAGGATCCTTCCCCCAGCACAGCAGAGGGGGAAGCAGCAGGACCCTGTATCCCCCCCTTCCATAGCAACATACGGGCAGACCAGCTTTCATTTACACCAACAGCAGAGCCTGCTCTGAGCTCCACAGCATGCAAAGTGTGCCCACCGAGAGAGGAAGCAGCTCCTCTCATCCAGAAACTCGGCACAAATAAAGCATGGGATAAACACCTGGACTCCAGCCCAGCAACACAGTTGTTCCCCTTTCCCTTCCTGCCTCCCCCCAGCCTTGGAAGATCACTATATTAATGGAGTAGGCTGCTACCAGATGGAGCGCAGAGGAATGCCAAGAACAGATCCCTGGCTCCTTGTGAAGCTTGGGAGGCACTCACTAACTTCTTCCAAGGGAAGAGTTAGCCCAGAGGTACCAGGCTGCTTGCTCTGCATGGGAAGGCAAGGATCTGAGTGGGGAAATGGGTGCCAGGGAGGTCCTTTGGGTCATCACGATGAATTGGAGGGTTTACAACTCACTGTGCCCAGTTAACACCAGTGCTAGGTTTAGGTAAGGAGGACAGGGTTGAGCTGCTTGCCCTGACTCAGCAAAAACAATGTCAGCCCCAACATGTGAATTCCCCGGAGTGGTTTCTATGTGATGCAAGTCAGCTCCTTATAGAACACTGCAGTCACCCCAGCGTGGCAGATGGAGCGACCCTGCCAATACACCTACACAGGATATTCCTGGCAGCCTTGCTTTGCCTCGAGCCCCTTCTGGAGGGGTTTAGCAAGGGGGGGTGTGTGGAGAGGCAGCAGCATCACTATTGCCTCGTCTCTGTGCTGTTGGGACCACAGCAAAGGTCCCTGCTGGCAGCAGCATCTTCCCTTGGAGGCTCAAACAAAGGATGCTGCAGTGGGGCCAGGCTGCCTCTCGGTGCAAGGAGACCATTAACTTCCTGCCTGCATTAACTGTCTGCAGCAGTAAGGAAGTCAAACTGGGGTGTGCAGCAGCAGGGACAGCCCCTCTGAGCAGCGGGATGCCAGCACAGGGGCTGGAGCATGCAGCCAGAGCAGGGCTTTCCAACCAGATGCATCCAACAGAGCAATCGCTTGTTCATCAGCACGAATTTGGGCAAGCCTACAGCTCAGAGATGAAGCCTTGGGTCTCATCCTTGCTCTTCAAGGGAGAGGAGCAGAACCTCCTTATAGCCAAGACAGGCACAGAAGGGATACATGCTTGGGATACTGCTCCTTCTCCCCCCTCCATATGGCTCCACACCCAGGCATAAGCAAGCTCCTCTCTGCACTTAGGGCATCCATCCTTAGTGCTTCCATCTCTGGAGATCCAGCTCCCCAGACCAAATACACAGCTTTGGACCCTCAGACAGCACTGCCAAGGCCCCAGGTTCGTGCTGCACACAGCATCTTGGTTTTAGCTGGGAGAGAGTCACTTCTGAGCCACCACTGAGGCACAGAGCTCTGTTATCCCTACAGCACAAGACAACATTAAAGCCTCTATATAATGCATATCTGGGAGCAGCTGGTGCCCTTGAACACACAGCCCTGCCTGTCCTTTACAGCCAGGCTTTCCCCCACCCTTCATTAGCAGAAGCCTCAAGCATCACCTGGACCTTGCCCTCCCTCCACTTCTACCTCTTTTAGTTCAAAGTGCTCAAAGAGATGAGCCCAGCCTTGAACACTGCCTCCAGTGAACAACCAGTCACCCCGGTACCCAGCTCAAGTCAAAAGGGGAGTGAGGACGAGGGTGGAGAGCATCACATCTGCCACCAAGCCAGCTCCCAACGCTGCTGGGCGCGGGGAGGGCAGAGTTAAGCAGCCACCTTCTTGCAAGGCTTCCCACAGATTTATTGCTGGGGTAATGTCACAGATAGGGAGGAAGCCCGGCCCTCTTCCTCCTGCTCTCTTGAAGAAAGGAACTCAGGAATTTGGCAGAAGGCCACGGCTCGAACAGAGGAGACCCTGTGCTAATGCATGTTCAGTAAAGCAGTCTCTTCCCTGCCAGGATAAACGTTGCTTTTCCACCCCCTTTCTTGGGGGAGAAAAGATGCTGCTCCTCAACGCCAACGTGAGCAACATTTGGAATGGGTGGGCTCTTCCTGAGCTATCCTCACCTTCCCTGGACACTGCTCCCAGCCCAGGGTACTGCAGGGGGTGGGCAGCAGCTGACAAGGAACCAAACCCATGTCCTCTGGCTGGAGGTTCCCTTCACCCCACGTCTGGGCACCCTACAGCCTCCACCCCAGCAAGCAAAGGGCACAGCAGCAGTTTGCAGCTGCTCTCACTTCCCTTTAAAGCAAGATCAGGCAAAGAAGGAAGAACAAAGCGTTTAATGCAGGGCTCTGTGCACAGCTTTGAACATCCCTGGGCTAGAGGCAAGGCAGGGAGGCTGCAAAGGGTTAAGACAGCAAGCCAGCATCAAAGGCAGCTCTCAAGCAGAGGGGGTTGAGAAACTGAGATGGGTTGCGCAGACTCCTTGGAATCTCAGGAATTTCCCATTATTATCCCACTTCCCTTCCAGCAGCCTGGAGGGAGAAAGCACAAGAACAGGACCTCAAGCCCATCCCTACGGCCAAGCCAGGGGCAGAAGCACCAGGGATGAGCATGCCCTGGACATGGGACCAGGCAAAGCTAGGATGTGGATGATGCCCATGATACAGCAAAGGAAGCTTTGATTCAGGACATTAAAGAGCTCAGGGGTCTGATCTCCTGCTGCTTTCCACAGATCAGGGTCTCAGCCTCACAGATCCCAGGCTGCTTGGACCACCATGGTAGGCTGAGATGCATGCACAGCCCTCTAAATCATCAGCTCACCCTCATGCCACTTCACTACTCCAGGAAGTTCCCATTTCCACCTCACAAGCTGGAGCTTTAATAGTGCTCCAAGGCTCATCCCAATTAAACAGGAGTTTTGGGCTTTGGGCAGGTCACAACCACCATCAGCACCTTCAATGGGCAATAACCAACCTGTAAGAGCTACATAAGAGGGAGCGTTGTGCTAAGGCACCATATGGCTGAAGGTCTTCAGCTTCCTTCTGCTTATCTTACACATTAATACCCATCTTACAAGGATGCTGTCAGGATTAATGATTCTAAAGTAGTCTGTGAATGGACCAAGCTACACACACACCAAGTGGTATTACATTATCTACTTTTCTTTCTAAGAACACTCCTGTATAAGCAGCAGCTACAAAAACCTTACTGCAAAGCTGCTTTATAGATATTAAAAAACATGTCAGGCACTGAGAGCTTCACTTTGGGCTGAGCAGAGCCCAGAAAGCTGGGCATAAGTAAGGATCCTTCTTGATAGGAAAAGACATAGGGGCCAGTGAGCACGCATCACTCAGCAGTGTGTTCTCTCAGTGAACATGCATCACTCAGCTCTGCCTCCATCTCCCCCACGCTGCTCAGGAGAGAAGGATTCTGCATTTAAGCTCCATTTACCTTCCCAACATCAAGGGCAAGTGACAGTAACTGAGGGTGAATGCACTTGGCTATCAGCAGGCTGCAGTGCCACCCATGCCCCTCACTGCTTCACACACCCTTTCCCCCTGCACTAAAGGGCATTTTTTCCTCTCCCCAAACACCTGCACTGAGTTGGGGTGCAATAAACACCCTTTTATTTCCCCTTCTTTAAGGGGATACAGCTCAAAGTCAACTCCATATAAACACCTGCCTGTATTCTGGATTTCATTCACCTTTTGTCTGCCCAAGCTGGAACTGGAGAGCACCCATAGATGGCTTTTAAGTCTGGAAACCCTTGTTCTAATACCACCATTAACTGGCCTGGGTGACCCCTTCCAGCCCAGGGCTTCACATGCACACCCTGAACCAAAGCAGAGCAGCAGGGGAAGAGTTTATGCAGGCAGAGGGTCCCTGCACCCCTCATTTCCCAGCCCCATCACTCTCCCAGTGCCCACCAGAGCAGGCACCAGTCACTTACGCGTTGCAGTACGGCTTCTTCTCGTAGCCCTTGTAGTTTTTCATGTTTAGGGTCATCTTGCAGGTCTCGCAGTGGAAACATGCCTTGTGCCAGAACTGCAGACAGAGACAAGAGAATCATTACCACCAGTGGCTTGCAAAACAGGGCCACGTCCCACTAGGTTCACACAACTCCAACGCTCCTCCAGTCCAGTGATGCCAGCAGGACGAACCCACAGCCCAGTGTTCTGACTGGTTCAGGACACACATAAACCCCCCCAGACCCTCCCAACACATCCAGGGCACAACACTGGAGTTGCATTATAGCAGCATCTTGCTTCCTTATCTCCAGAGCAGGAATTCACAGGATGGGCAAAGCACAACACAAACCCCTGTGAGCAGGGAGCTGTCAGCAGTTACCAGCTGTGGTTTGCAGGCTTCAAAGATGCTGCTTTAGGGTTTTTTTTTGCTGATGCTAGCCAAGAGATAGCCAGAAGAGCAGGTCAGGTAAGGCTGCACACAGACACCGAGCCAAGGCAGAGACTAAAAGGTTCTCATGAGAAGCAGACAGCGCGACGCAGGCAGCTCAAAGGTCCTCACCACAGATGCCACCCTTCTGCCTGCCTTTTAGGTGGCTGACCCCAAGCTCTGCATCCCCAGAGGATGCAGGAGCACCCCAGGCACTCCTCATCCCCTTCTTCTCCCAGTGGGGCTGTCCAGACCAATGAGTGCTCTTACCAAGGGCTTGAAGCAGGCAACAACAGGGAAGAGGAGCTGCTGGCCTGACATCCCGGTGTCATTCTGGCATCCTCTCGCCCATAGCTTGCAGCAGCAGTCTCAGGTTGAGCCCAGATGAGGTCTGTTGCCTGACTGCAGCTCTCCCTTAAGCAAGGCACGCTCAGACTCAAGACAAAAGACACAGCCCTGGAAACTCAAGCCATGACCCTACACTGGGGCTGCAACACCCGATGAACCCTATAAGGATGTGGTTTACAGGTTTTTTAGGGCTACTCTTAATGAAATGATTTCCACTCGGCATTTAACTGGCCTGAGTGGCTGGATGGAGCCCAATGAGAACAGCTCAGAGCTGCTCCCAAGCAATTCTGCTCAAGCCTATGCAGACCAAAGTTGATGCCAGCCTCCAAGTGACCAGACCTGGTGCTTCCTCTGGCTTGGTGCGACATCCCATGGTCCAGATCAGGCACAGAGGAAAGGAGCAGAGCTGGAGCAGAGCCTTTGCTCCCCCAGAGCAATTCAGCCCAGCCCCAGGGTTGCCTCCCTTCTTCAGAGCACCCAAACCACCCAGCATCACCCCGCAGAAGCAGGGAAAGAACCAGCCCAAAGCCACACCAGCGGCTCCATCACACCCAGCACATGACAGTCAACAAGCCTGCAGCGTGGCACCCAGCACACACTGAACAGGCAGCAAGCAAAGCGCCCTGGAGAGCAGCTCGAGGTTCTCCCTGTGATTTCCTTCCACCCTTAAGCCTTCAAAAAGCCCTTTCCACCACTGCTGCGTGGAGGTGGTGAGAGCCAAGCCCTTGTGCCACCTACCCACAGGTACCACACCCCAGTGCACAAACACTGGGAGACGATGACTCAGCCCAGGAGGACAATTTGCCTCCTTTCAGTTGCTCAGGGCAACGTATTTGTTCTTTTCCTCCAGTTATACAAGTTCCTCCGGAGCCAGACTGATGCAAACAGCGAGAGGAGGCTTCCCCTTGCTCCCTACCAGCACCCTCATCCCCATCCAGCCTGTACATGAGGCTTTCCCCTCCATCCCAGCGTTCAGCCTCTATGAGGACAGCCTGAACCCCAAGTCCTTCAGGCATCACAGCCCTTTGGGTGAGCTCCTGCCACATTAGAGGCAGTTAACACACCTCTGCCTGTGCTGCAATAGCTGCGGATAAGTACCAGGGATGCCACTGTAAATAGGAGATGAACCGATTGCCATCATTACTTCAGAGCCTCTTCCCCAAGGAATATCCAGGCTCCCAAGAGCCAAGGCAAGGCCAGCACTGCCCTTGCCCAAGGTAGGCTCCACAATAAGCACAGCAGCAGTGATTTAGCCAGGCCTTACCCCCAGACAGAGAGGAATTAACACATCTTGCACCAGGCATCTTTCAACAGAGCTGTCTCTGTCCTGTACCTCTTACAGAGGACTCTACAGCCTGAGGAGAGCTACACAAAGACCCTTGTCTCCAAGTCTTGCCAATGCTAAGCTTTCTCCTACCACTGCCAGTATTAACGCTGGATCCAGCAATCTAAACCAGCACTAAAAGGAGGGCTGCAAAACCAGACACAGGGGAACAGCGATTACGTAGGCTTCCAGTACCGCTACTGCTGAGCCTCCAGCAGAGAAAGAGGACAAGCTCCAAATAGGTTTTCGGAGGAGCATTAGGGTTTCTAATCCCAAGTTTGAAGCACTCTGAACATCTGGAGGTGATCCCAGGTACAGCTGCACAGCACAGCCCCGTGTCCCAGCAGGATGGACTCCATGAGGAGCACATGGGCTTTGGTCCAGGCATGCTGCTCCTGGAGAGATGGAGCCCTTTGGCCAACCTTGCCATGGCAAGAGATTAGACCTGGGGACTCACAGCCACAGTACATGGTGGAGTGTGTCCATTGATAGCTCATGCTACAGCCACACAGCATCCCTCTAGGAAGTAAATCACACAATCCCAGCCTGGTTTGGGTTGGAAGGGACCTTAAAGCTTCTCCAGTTCCACCTTGTGCCATGGGCAGGGACCCCTTCCACTGGAGCAGCTTGCTCCAAGCCCCTGTGTCCAACCTGGCCTTGAGCACTGCCAGGGATGGGGCAGCCACAGCTTCTCTGGGCACCCTGTGCCAGCGCCTCAGCACCCTCACAGGGAAGAGCTTCTGCCTAAGAGCTCAGCTCAGTCTCCCCTCGGGCAGGTTCAAGCCATTCCCCTTGCCCTGTCCCTACATCCCTTGTCCCAAGCCCCTCTCCAGGTTTCCTGCAGCCCCTTTAGGCACTGGAGCTGCTCTAAGGTCTCCCCTTCAGGAGCCTTCTCTTCTCCAGGCTGAACCAGTGCAACTCTGCTCCACACCTGGAAGCGAGCATCACTTGAGACTCAAGGTTTAAAAGACATAAAGGAGTCTCCTTGGGCCGGAGGCAAAGCCTTGAGCGGGTTTAATGCAGTGCAACAGCCGAGCCTAACTTCTACTCATCTCAGGAAAGTCATCTGACATCAGCTCTACGTGGGTTCAGGCGCTGCAACCACCAAACCCTATGACAAGATGTCACTTCCACAAACAGAAGCTGGGTACAGCACCTTATATGGAGAGCAGCAGGGGAGGCAACGACACCCATTTCCCTGAACCCCTTTTGCCTTTGGCAAGGTGCTGATGGGCAGAACTCACAGGCAGCACTGCACCACGCTGATGGAGCCCCACAAAGCCCCACGTTTTCCTCCTTGGAAATGGACTTTCCTGATTGCACTCCCAGGAGAACCAAACCCATCTGCTTGTCAGCACACCAGAGCTGAAAGCTTAAACCCAGCTACGTGTACACTTCCCCTCCCGGAGCCCTTCCTTATTGCTGCCTGGGGTTCAACTTGTGCAAACAACACCAGAGCTGCCCTTTCGACTTTGCTCCAGGTAGAGGGAAAACAAGGGGAGCAGCCTCTCCAGTAACACCGTGCTTTCATGGGAAGGCTCTTGCAGCCAGGAACACCAGGACAAATGGAAGTGAGGGGAGTTGGGGTGCAGCTCTTTGGTTAGGGCTGTGCTGTACGGCAAGGGTGACCATGGAATGATTTTGAGCTTAAGAAGGCCACTACAAGTACAAGATGGTGACTGCAGGCAGAATACGTGGTGTTGGGATGCACATCATCCATGTCCTCACGGCAGTGCACAACTGCCAGCTCAGAGCAGCCAAACCCCAGCCAGTGGCTGCGCAGGAGGAAGGGATGGGTCATTCCTCGCCTTCCTTCCCAGTCATCCACAACTCAGATGCCCCGCAGCTACTCGAGGCTCCTTAAGCCAGAGCCACTTCCCTGCTCCCAACAGGCAGGGAACACAGGGCCGATAGTTCCGCTTCGAGCCATTCCCAGCGCAAGGAAGAAACCTCATCTGTTAAAAATGCGCGCAACAGGGTCTGCCGGAGCTCAGGAATGCCGCTGGAGAGCGGCGCATTCTTCAAGTTACTTTTTTTAGTCCTTAAACTGGTCGTCCCAGAACCTGGAAGAGGAGGGGGAGGAGGAGAGCGGCTCGGCTCTCCAGGAGGAGCGAGTTCCCAGGCGAATCCCATGGGAGCCGTGCAGCGGAGGGGATGGAGACCCCGCCATCGCTTTCCTTACCGGACCTCGGCACCAGCGAGGATGGGTTTTGATGGGAAAGCACTCAAAAAGAGACGCTCAAAGCGCTTCTCCCCCCAATGCTATGGCAGGCAGAAGGGGTTATAAAGATGGAATTCTGGAACTATCAATTGGGATGGAAGGAAAAGAAAGGGGGGTAAAAAAAAAGAGAAGCTTGGCTAATGCAAACCAGATGAGGCTCCCGGCTTCGGGGGGAGCGTTAACTGTTGCTTTCCACCGGCCTCTCCTGCTGTTTGGTTATACAAAAGGAACAGGCTCCAGGCATTGCTGGTTACCCCCAGGGCTACTGCCGGGGGGGTATGAGAAGATGCCACCTCCGGTCCCCATGGGGCTGGAAAAAGTGTGGGTCCCACCGTGTGGGGACCCCGAGAAGGTTTATATGGGGAGGGTGGCACTTTGAAGACAGCCCATGGTGAAAACGGGATACCCCACAGTAAGTGGAAAAGACTTAAATACCCTACAAGAGAGCGCATGAAATACCCTACATGGGATGGGGATGGTGGGGGGGGGAAGAACCAGCCCCACAGAAGACGCCACAACCCCCTATATCCGCCCCCCTCCCCATACGCCGCACTCACCTTATCCAAGCAGTTCACCTTCTCCGTGGGGTACACGATCTTGCCGCAGCGGGCGCAGTTGGGGTTCATGGCTGCAAGGACCCAGGACTCCAACCACTGCCTCCCGCTGCCGCCGCCGCTTCTGGGGCCGCCGCCCGCGCTGCCGCGACCCTAAATAGTGATGGGGGGGGGTAACGGGGGAAGAGTGGGAGGAGCAAGGGGGGGGGGGGGTTGCGGGCGCGCACCCACGCGTGCACGCACACGTACACCCGCCCCCTTCCTCTTCCTCCCCTCCATCACACGCGTGTGCGGTGCATGGGGCGCTGCGCACACGCGTTGGGATGCGCTAGCACAGCGCTCGCGCGGCCGCAACGGCAGCTGGGGGTATAGCTCAGTGGTAGAGCATTTGACTGCAGATCAAGAGGTCCCTGGTTCAAATCCGGGTGCCCCCTTGAGTTGGAGCTTTTTTGATTGTTCTTTTTTGCCTGTTTTTCTTATCTCTTTTGTGTTTTATTTTTATCCCCGCGCATGATTCCTCCTTAAAAGTAACGTGAGAAGCTCCCTGACCTCCGCAAGGCCGGCAGAACCGTGTAGGTTCTTCCTGCACAGGCAATGTGATAGGCAGCATCAACCCAATTGGGGTTCTTCCATGCCAAAACCCTCTATAAGAATGTTAACTAAATCTCTATCAGGGATAACAGATAATTCCCCTTTCCAGGAACCCAATGCAAGAAAAGGACCCTCTGCTTGCAAGTGGGCTTTAATGAAGCACACCCATACTAAAAAAGGCTGTGCTCAACTCTTTTCCTCCTTTTTTATTTCAGGATGCAGCTTTAAATCGGTTTCCTTCAGTTTAAAAGCAGCTTCTCTGAGCCTGTCACACAGCCCACTCCTTCCCTCGCTGATCACCTCACCCAGCACTTCCCAGCTCCCCTAAAACAGCCTTCCACCTCTTCCCGGCCCATCTCAGCTGAAAATAAACCCAGCTTTTCAGTTTATCCAGCAATTTGGGATGTTGTGGGTGGATTTTCCTCTCTTGGCTGAGGAGATGCTGACGAGTGCGCGAGGCTCTTCATCACACAGATGTTTTGGGTGCAAAACGACCGCAAGGCTCTGGTTTTTCTTTCTCTTACCCCTTCACGATCTGCATCGTGTTCAGTTGGCCAGGTTGGATGGGGCTTGGGGCAACTTGCTCCAATGGAAGGTGTCTCTGCCCGTGGCAGCGGTTGGAACTGGATGAGCTTTAAGGTCCCTTCCAACACAAACCAGGCTGGGACTCTATGATTATTTGCTTTCAAGCTCTACATGGAACACTTAGAGGACCAGGCTGATGAAGCAGCATCACTTGTGTTTTCCTCCTGAAATTAGACTTAAGCTTTCCCTGGGGAAACACAAAAATCATTTCTTGCCAACAGGCAAAAACCTTTCACTTTGCAGTTAAATTACACCGGGATTTACAGCATCATTAGGGCTGACAAATACACATGGAGGCGAGGGTGATTGGCTCTGATAACCGACGCATCCCCGCCTCGGTGTGGGGTGAACGGCACGGCGCTGCCGCCGCACTCCCGGTACACCAAACGGTGCCTGGGAAACACCGAACTGCTGCGCTTTTGCCTCCCTTCCTGTGCTCGCTTCTTGGTCCCCCGGGTTCCGCCGGTCCTGGAAGAGCGCACCGGGAGGAGCCACCGGCGCCCCCCCCAAGCTCGGTGGCCGGTGGCGACGGTGGAAGGCGGCACGGACAACAACCCAACGTGGCGGGGGTATAGCTCAGTGGTAGAGCATTTGACTGCAGATCAAGAGGTCCCCGGTTCAAATCCGGGTGCCCCCTCTTTTGTGTTTTCCACCTTTTTTTTCCCCGTTTTTCTACCCCGAATCATTCCCGGTACGGACCGGTCCGAACCTTTTCCCCGTGGCCGCGGTGCACCCCAGAGTCCGGTGCGAGCCACACGTGGGGAGCGGTGGCCACCGAGACGCTCCCGGTACCTCTAGAGGGCGCCGCGGGGCCTCCCCGCCAGCGCCACGTGAACCTCGCCTGCCTGACCATGTGACGTCCGGCGGAGCGGGAAGGAGGCGGGGCAAACCCATATCCCAGCGTGCCCTGCGCCTATCTCCCTCTTCCGGCGCCAAGATGTCGAAGCGAGGTGAGGCGGGCCCCGGTCCCGGGGGGGGTCGGCGGAATCCGGTTCCATCCGTGCTCCTACCGGTGCCTCCATCTCCGCGAGGGCCGGGGATGGCGAGGGCCGGGTCTGGGGAGCGCGGAGCCCGCGGATGGTGCCGGGAATCCCCCCCCCCCGCTTCCCCGGGAGGCGCTAGGCCGGCTTCTCGCTGTGCGCCATGGCCGGGATCCTAACCCGCTTCTCGCCCTGCAGGACGCGGTGGTTCCTCGGGTGCCAAGTTCCGCATTTCCCTCGGTCTCCCGGTGGGAGCTGTGATCAACTGCGCCGATAACACAGGTGAGCGCGGCCGCCGCCGTGCCCCGGCCTCTGCGAGGCTCCAGAGCAACCCCCGTTTTCTTCCTGGAAAGTTCCTGGAACCATGGAATGGTTTGGATTAGGAAGAAGCTTCAGATCATCCAGTTCCAACCCCCTGCGATAGGCAGGGATACCTCGCACTAAACCATGGCACGCAAGGCTCTGTCCAACCTGGCCTTGAACACTGCTGGGGATGGAGCATTCACAGCTTCCCCGGGCAATCCATTCCAGTGCCTCAGCACCCTCACAGTAAAGACCTTCCTTATACCCAACCTAAACCTCCCCTGTTTAAGCTGCTGGGTCTGTGCTCATGGAAGGAGACACCAACAGCAGCGGTTTGGGTGAAGAGGCCGCTTGTGCTGTTGGCTTCACTCAGTGATTTGACACTGGAAGTGTTGTCCTGTTCAGCCCCGTTGACACAGCTCTCTCCATAGGTGCCAAGAACCTGTACATCATCTCCGTGAAGGGCATCAAGGGCCGCCTGAACAGGCTGCCAGCAGCCGGTGTGGGTGACATGGTGATGGCCACAGTGAAGAAGGGCAAGCCAGAGCTGCGGAAGAAGGGTGAGTGTGGAATGGCTTTGCTGGTTTGGGGGGGATCCCCTCTTTGAGTGGAGAAGTTGGGAATGGTTCTGCCCCAAACTGGTGCTGAAGCTGGGCACTGGATCTCTGGAGCGTCGCCTCCACCCTTCGAAAAGCACTTGCTGGGTCTGTGGCAGTGGCTCGGTGAGTTGTCGTGGAAGGGCAGAGCAAAAGCACTGCTTTTGGGTGAAGTGGCAGCTTGTGCTGTTCGTTTCAATCAGTGGTGGGACACGGTGCTGTGGTACCATGGTTTGGGGCTGCTCAGGGTGGGGAGGGACCTGTGGGTTGAGAGAGAAGGGTGGAAAGACATCAAATTGTCCAAGTGGAGACGTAACTATGAGCATCGCACTATCGGTTTAAGTATCCTGTTGCCTATAAACTGGAATTTCACATAGCAAAGCCCTGCAGATGAGATGCTTGCTGTGACACTGAGCTGCCCCTGTCTCTCTGCAGTCCACCCGGCGGTGGTAATTCGGCAGCGGAAGTCCTACAGGAGAAAAGATGGAGTATTCCTCTATTTCGAAGACAATGCAGGAGTGATAGTAAATAACAAAGGAGAAATGAAAGGTATGGATGGGAACCCCGGGTGAAGGGGGAGCGTGGAGGTTGGTGTTGCTGCTTAGAGGGTGGAAGGACCCTGATGCTCCTTGTAGAGGAGCAAAGTGCTGCCCTGACCCCTCTCCATAGCCATGCTGGGCTCTAAGGCACCATTGTCCTCCTCTCTTTCCCAGGCTCTGCCATCACAGGCCCTGTGGCGAAGGAGTGCGCGGATCTGTGGCCCAGGATAGCCTCCAACGCGGGAAGCATCGCGTAGCCATGGCATTCCATACACACAATAAAAGTCCTTGTACCAAACAAGTGGTGTCTTTCTTACCAAAGTGCCCTTCTCTGCAGAGCAGGACCATATCCTTACACAGGAGGTAGTTCTGGGAAGCCAATTTATGGAGCTCCTTGTCTGCATGGAGCAGGGATGGGGGGTTTGGAGGTTTAATACCCAGTGATAAGTCTCTTTTTGTAGGGAGAGTCTACCCCTGGAAAGGGCTTGCGCTGGAATGGCTTTATCAGGATTGACTTGACCACTGGATATCTGCATGAATAGAAGTGGGGTGGGTTTATGGAAGCTCTGCTGCGAGATGAGATGCCTCCACACAGGAGCTGAAGGGACTGTAGACCTGGAATTGTCTTCTAGAACAGGCAGTTGAAGTGCTTGGGAACACTGGTCTGATGGTGCAGGAGGGTGGGAAGCAGCACCTGGAAGTGAGCTGTACCACGAGGTGCTGAACTCACCCTGCACAGCAGCTCTGAGGAACGTTTCTTGGGCCTTGCTGAAGATGGGTAAGGACACAGCTTCACGGCTGCTGGTGGAGGTCGTGTGTGAAGCCCTCAAGCTGAGCTGGAGGTATGTCTACACAAACGCTTGGGCTGTGTGGTTTTCCTTATGTTCCTCAGGTGGAAGCCAAGAAGGGGATGTTTGGATGTGAACCAGAGGCCAGCTGGTTTTTTGGCTCTCCTGAGCAAGGTATAATAGGGGTGATACTGTCCTGGATGCTGTGGCCCTGTAATGCCCGGCTTGGCCCCAGTCCATATCATGTTGTGACCCACAGGAGCTGCAACCCTTGGACAGCCCACAGCGTGCTTTGCTTTGTGAAATATTCCTGATGTTTTCCTGCTGTTCCTGATGCTTTCAGTGCAAGGAGGTTACAGTGGATTAAGGGGTTACAGGCACCAAAACCTCAGAGGTTGTGTAGCAAAAATACAAGAAATGATGAACAAAAGCAGTGCTTTGTAAACCCTTGTTTTGACACAGCTGTTTGACCAAAAGAATGCACAAAATAAGTGGCCTAGAAAGCCTTTACTCGTATATTCCCATTTGACAACTGGGATCTGGGGAGGGAAACTTGGGAAAAGACCCAGACTGAGGGCTGCTCTCTTTTCTGCAGGTCGTTCCATGGAGATGGCAAAAGGTTGTGGCTTCTTCCCACGAGAGATGGAGTGCCAGGAGGGCACAAGGGATGCTCTTGGCTGTCATTGCACTGCTCCAACCCGTGGCTCAAGTCAGTCTTTTTGAGCGGTGCCATCCTTCCGATGCACTGGTGATGGAGGAGCTGTTCCTCAGCCCTGGGGAG